GTTGCGTTCTGGCTTCTGCCTTAGGGAGGCAGGAATTGTATTGTGGGGAGAATCCCCAAATACAGGAGGAGTAGTCAAAAGATACTGGCCAGCCACAAACCTGACAAGTGTCCACTATATGTTATTTCAGTGTGAAAAATATGACTACTTGGAGGAGAAAGAAGAAAGCCCATATAAACACTGTATCAAAACAGTTTGCTAGAAAGCTACCAGACCAGGCAGGGGTGATATCTGACTTGCTCACTGTTCTGTCCTCAGCACCCAGATGGACCTTGGCATGAGGTAGGTGTTCTGAATGCTTGCACCATGTTACTTTGGTTAACCCTACAGAAATGCCTTTTTTGGAACTATGATCCAACAGGATGCCTACCGCTTTGATCAAGGGCTGTTGCACCTAATACGAATCTAATACACACATATATATAATCTGAATTTAATATATAAAAGAAAAATGAGGACGGGTACATTTTCAAGAAGGGGCTCTATACCTGTTCCTCTTGTTGGTAATAAACAACGCTGGCTTCCACTTAACTTTCTTAAACTTCTGCTGCTTCTTAAAAAAATAATGTTGAACAGTTAAATATTATACAGTATTGCTAAATTATTCCTGAGCCCTCACTGAACTGTAATGGAATTCTTCCTACAGTAGCTTTTTCCCAGTTGGACTTTGGAATTGCTGCTGAAGACATGTGGCCAGTTAAGGTTACCTGGCACCTCTCTCCACACATAGTCCCCTCAGATCCCCTCGCTACTTACGTATGGCTCCTAGAGAAAACAGAAATGAAACAGGTATTTTTTCTTGAAAAGGTTCTAGGCTCTCTTTCTCCCCTCAATGGCCCCTCAGAGTTTTGCTGGTCACTGCCCAACAGTTCCCTGGGAATTCCCATCCCTTTGTTCTCAGCGTGGGAGACCTTTTCCTGTTGGGACTTGGTGAATGCTCCGAGGGCCGTGATTGTGCTGTGCTGCTGTTGCCATCATGTGGTGCATTTGCCCAAGTTCCCAGAGACTTCTACTCGGTAGTCTGTGCTTTTCTGGCCTGATCATGGTTTTGTCTGAGCTGCCTCTCTGCAGTGGCAGTGCAGAGCTGCCCCCTGCAGATCGTTTCATAGTTCGCTCTCACACAATTGATTAATTGGGCTGCAGCCAAAGCTTCCAGTTTCTAGTTTAGCTTTTCCTTTGCTTTAGATGGAGGGGAGCGCAAACTCACCAGTTGTTAAATAAACCCCATGGGCAGCATCTTGGCCCTTTTCAGAAATACCTCAGCTGTGGTGGTGAAGGGTGTGGAGGGACAACTCAGTGTCAGTTTCTCTTGTCCCTCTTTCCTGGGATACTACATACCATGACCATATTTTCTAAAGCAAAGATCAATTATAACATGTGACTTATTAAATATAAATTTTGTTTAGTTCATTCACAACTTCTCAGGTGAAAAAATTTTTTTCTTTTAGAGTGGGCCCTAGGACAGGATATTTGAAATTGAAGTTGTCCCAGAAAGACAATTGTATTATGATACAGCATGTGGGTTAGCTAGGATGGAGAGTAAAGGGAATTGGAGTTCAGACAGAATCAGTGGGCTTAGGGCACTA